TGGCCACTCGAAAAATTTCCTTTTTCGCTCCTTTTACCACGAAAAGAAAATTTAGTGACGCAAGAAAATTATTCTAAAACAAAACATGCACTTTCTTTCCGCACTGATTTTTTGATCGGTCAGGAAAGACATTTTAAAATCGTTTTATGGCATTGAAAGGACACAATATCAGCACACACTTAAATAATACTATTTTCCAGTGCCAATATTGAAGAAACTTTCATGAAACAATTGGGTTCTCTTTCAAAATTATAGATATTTCAAAATTTTTATAGGGCTAGAGCTGCGGCTCGAGGTCGCTATGTAAGAGGAATGGTAGAATGCTGTACAAGTTGCATGAACGTCTAAAACACGACATTGATTGAGGAAAAACGTACAAATTTTGCGAAAAGGGTCCCATCAATGCATAACAGAAAGCTCTGAGGACTAAAATAAGGGTCTACAAAAATTTTAATAGAAAAACAAACATTAAAATTTCTCATTAACAAAATAAATATAACAAAACTTAGAAACGCTTGCCTTGAAAAAAAATTTATTTCCACCTTGGTTCTAAATAGGTTGAGGATCAACAAAGAGCCTAATAAATTAGGACGAAATTATATTGGAGAAAAAATCGAACCGAAAACATAGCCAACAGACAGTTGTACACGAGTCAATGAACACAAGTAAATAGGAAAAAAAATTGTTTTTTTTTTAAATCTCAACTTTTGAATGTCGAAGAACAAATAGATGGTTTTAAAGCTCTAGGAAATTCAAGAACAAATTATGATTGACATTTTTAGGTATAATAACCCATTCTGAGAAAATTGGATTAACAGGTTAATCTTTTATTTTGCTGGAATATCTGGCAATTAACACTTTTATTTCCGAAACTAGAAGATTTTTATGAAATTTTTGCTTTTCGATAGTGGACTTTGCCTTCTTTTAGCTAAGGAAATGAACTAAACTTAAAAAGAAATCAAAATGAAAGCCACGAAAAAGCACATTTGAGCCTGAAAAACTTTAAAGACTTTTTTCTATAAAATAAACATCGCAACGTGTAAAAGAGTCTAAATTATGTTCATAGACTCTTAATAGAAAAAAATTTAAAAAAAACAACCCGTCCAATAATTAAATTAGAACAATTTAAAGAAAAATTGATTGATTATGAGCCGTTTAGCGACAAATACAAAACGGAGGGTCTATTTCGAAGTTTCGCTTCTGGCGTAAAATCAAACAAAACAGTTTGTATCAGAGCAAAGCCTAGAATGTTCCGACTGCCACTAATTGGTTTCGATTTTTTTTTGGTTAAAACAGCTATTGCTAGCTATGAATTTTAGGCTGATAGTATCACATTTTAGTTTTTAAAATTTAGGTCGCGTATTGAATTATTAAGACCAATAAGCTTGCTCCAATTTCATAGGAACAATTTTGTAGCGCGGGATAATTCGCCACGTCTAAGTAATTCATGTTACACTTTCAGGATCAAAGTTTAGAGCGAGCAGTTTTGATAGACTCGTGTCAGTTTAATATAGCGGTTTGCGCACCCGTCGGAGCTCACAAAATTGAGGATCCAGGTAGCGACCCCTCTCCCCGCAGCGAGCAAATAATTTTTTTGCAAAATAGTCTCAATAGAAAACACCGGAGCATATAAACTCCTCACTTTCTTCAAAAATAGGAACAAAACAACGATTGGTTTTACAGAAAAAATTTATTTCTCTATTATATCAAACTTTAGTCATTGTAAAAAAAATCTACTTCTCGGACTGGAGGGCGTAAAAAAATTGGCATTGTTTACAGTAGATATCCCAAAACAGTATATATACGTTATTCAGGGGCAGATTTGGGTTCATTCCCCTCAAGGATTGGACCAGCTCACCAACCACAGGGTCACCTTTTGATATTTTTAACGATATCCTTTTTCGTCCAACCAACCTAAAAAATTTTCGAACGGGGCCTTCAGGGCCAACAAATGCTAATCTAGAAGGCTAGCGCGCGCCAAAAAAAAGATTTTTTTTTTCGGTCAAAATTTTCCAGAAGGTGCCTAAGAACATTTTTTTTTCTGTTTTATTTTTCAAAAACTCGCAGGCGGCGCAAGAAATTTGGTCAAAAGTGTTCTGGGAGCGCTCGGAAAATACATATGGTTGGCCTAAAGACAAAAAAAGACCGACAAAATTTTCGATTTTCTTATCGAAAATACGCCCCCTCGAGAAAATCCAAGATCCAGTCCTGAAGTTATAAATCGAAGCCAAGTCAGTAATTCAAATGATATAAATACCCTTGTACTTGAAAGGTATTCAGCTTGTACAAACCAACTTTTTCATAGCACGAGCTAATTTTTTCAGCATTCAAGTTCTGATTTAAAAAAAAACTTGAAAAAACTTTTCCAATTCGTAATATTTTATTTCATTTTCTTTTTTTTTGTAAGTTTTTTGAAGCTCGATGTAGCTAGGTTCAAATTTTTCCCATTTTCAAACTGAAGAGAAAACTGAAATCGAGTTTTTCATCACGGTTTTCTATCTTTCAGAGAGTCTAGCTCTCTGAGTGATAGAAAAAGATTTAAAAAAAGGTTTCATTTTCTTCTTCAGTTTAAAAATTCAGACCTAGCTACGTCTAGCTATCATAACACTAACAAAAAAGAACAAAAATTGAAAAAAAATTCAGATTGTGGTTAAATATTTCATCAAAAAACTCCGTTTCAAAGATACTGTTTAAGATCTAGATCAAATTCAACATTCACTACAGCAACAAAATTTGAAATCGAAACAAGTTAATTTCATTGTCATTCCAAAAACTATTTAGAATAAACCAAAACAAAAAAACTTCAAGACAAGAATAGCCGGTTGCTGTGCAAGTGGCAGAGACTGTTAAGACCACAATCACAAAAAATATGGAACGTTTCTTCTTTTTTTTCCAATATGATGTCATTTTGTACGCGCGTAGTAATGAGAGAAATATGAAAACAAATTTTCGTTTGTCTCACGACTGAAAGGTATTACGCAACAACTAATATGGTATGACACTTAACCAATTCCGATGATAATTCGTGCTACCTGCTTTTACGAGAAAAACAAATAAGAAAAAACTAAAATACACCCGAAGACAAAAGTTCATCCCCGTTTTCAATAATCAAAACAAAAAAAAATTTAAACAACAAACAAATAACCAAACAGGTTACAAAATTATAAGGAAGCTGAAATCTTTCAAAAAGTAGCAAAACTTGTCTTAATAAATCAAAATGAATGCAAAGAAAAAAACAGGAATTGCTTTTCTTTGGGGTGACAATAGAAATATCGTGTTTGGTCTAGAGAAAAAGTGGAAAAACAGCTAAATATTCTAAAGATCTGAACGTAAACTTGTCAAAATTAATAACTGTGACATTATTATAGTAACGCTAATTTACATACTTTCTAAACAAAATTTACGAGAGACAAACTGACAAGCAAAAAGAATTGATTGACTTATTCAAATTATATTAATCAAGGGTTAACTTCTAAATTTCGTTTTTTGTATATGATCTACAATTTTTTCTGCAACTTATTTCAAAAAATTCAATAAATGGGGAACTTTTTCATTTGTTAGGAAATCTCAAAAATTAAATTATGCGTTTGAAACTAACATTCATTAATGGTTTTTAGGCACAATTTGTTAGGGAAAATTGATTTGATTTCCATCTAATTATCTTTTTGACTTCTCATTTATTTCAAATTCTTTTGGTAAATCGGAAAAAAATCAAATAAACTTCGAAACTGAAAAAAATTCAAAGTCAAATATCTAAAACACAAATTTAGCGTGAAAAATTCTAAACCTAATCCGAAAACTGAAGAAGAAACGTAGAGTTTTTGGAACAAAAAGCTGTGAAAAAATAATAGGCCCCACATACCACCTACATGACAGTGTTTGGTGACGAGGCCTTAATTTCATACCCACATCCAATAAATCAATAAACCGCGGCTTTTATATACATTGAGTGGAATAACAATTATTGGATTCAGGCAAGCGAATCTAGAAAAGGAAGATATATATATATAAAATTTTTAAAAATTGAAAAAATAGTGATTGTTCTTTGACTTACAAAATGAGCAGCTATGAGGATTATTTATGCCAGCTGTGATTTTTCTTCAGAAACAAAAACCCGATCCGCAATTGAACTTTAATTGACGGCGTTGAAAGTAATCGTAAAATTCAAGGCTTTGCCTTATTACTGGCTATCAAAAGTGTAGAGATGGCACTTGAATGCTTTGAAATGATAACCAGCCAGAAATTTCACCAAAAATTGATGATACATCCTCAATAGACAAAGGGTTTGCTAATAAAATTACAAAGTTGCAGTCTGTCGGATCAAAAAAAAAGCGCAGTAACATGGTCCCATACTTTCCGGCCATTTTAATTATCAAAGCGTCTTCAATTCGCATACTAAATTGTTTTTATAGCCACACATGACGTGCTTGATTTTTAGTATCCGTTTTGACATGTCAAAAAATAAAAACATCTAATCGGCCCAGTTTAACAGAAGTTAACTGCCCATAAATACTTACTTCAAAGTAAAATTCTGACAAAATAAATCACTCGCTGCGCTGGAAAGCTTCATACTTTACAAAAATTGAACGCGCGAAAATAAACTTGCATATTTTTTTAGATGTTACAAATACCTTTTCGGACTTAAACAACACCAAATTCCACATTGGGTTAATAATATTTTAGCATACCCAGTAGCGAGCCGACGTCGGGGGCTCAACTCAGGTTCCCAAAATGTTTCCAAATGGTCCTTCTGTGATAGCATTTTACTATCCCCATTTTTGGTTGGTCACACTGAAAATTTTGCGCGCCAAGATAAACTAAATATGATGGGAGGGAGAGGGCTAGTCGAAAAAACTCGAGGCAGCATTTTTGGCAAAATAGGGTCTTTATAGTGTTTGGCGTTAAAGTAGCTCAAAAAACCAAAATGATCAACCTGACGAAAGTCCAGCCCTACCAGAAAAATTCCTGTGCATTCCCTTGAGAAGTACCTTATTTTTCAGATTAATCACCAAACTCAACCGTCAATCAATTCAAATCAGAAAACGAGACCAAAATGAGATCACATCAAATTGAAAACAGCACGCGCAGGCAAAACTCCGAAAACAACAACAAAAACAAGAAAGTAAACATCGCCAGGACAGTCAAGGTCAGTCAATTTGGATATTTGACCATCTTCAGTTGCTTGTTTCTGATGGCCACGTTGATTTCTACCTACCCAAGCCAAGCATCAGCGGCACACCGACTCTTCATTTTAACCCCCAGTCAATCAGAAAAAGGGGGTCCCGATATGATAGAAGGGGGTTATACGGAAGGGATGGGTGGAAGTCTGAAACGAGAGCTCGCCGATCAGATGTCCGGGGGTCCACTACGACACCGGATGCTGCAATCCAGTCAATTTTTCCCCCACGAAGAGACGAAAGAGGCAAATGAGAAGCGAGGGTGGAGGACAATTCTGGACGACAGATATTACAAACGAAAGTGATGGGTGCAATACCGGTCGATCACAATCGAGAAAAATCTGCAGACCAACGAATGACAATAGGAATTCCATTTAACCAATCAGAAACGAGAGTTTCACTGACCAATCATCGTCGTTCTTAATGATTATGTGCCAGTAGTGTAGAAGGTGCAATTCATAAAACCAGAAGTACTATTTTGTGTTCCTCGTACAATATCCTGAATTCAAAATCATTCTTGAGCTTTTGCATTGTTCAAAACATAATGAAATCGTTGTTTCATTATATTTTGAGATAAAATTATCAAATTGTTTCATTATGGAAGCACTAAGCATTATGGAAAGGCGTTCACTTCGCAATCGTCAGATTGTGTTATCGATCCCCTGCAATGATAGTGTGTGAGGACGAGCTCTCACTTGACCTCTAGCTTCAGGTCCACCACAGCCTGACCGGTTTCGGCTGCAATATTGGTCCCACGTGAAAGTTCTAGACGCTAAAAAACTGCCTTGAGTCGCAAAAAAGGAGCTTCGCTCAAAAAAATAACACAGTCTGGAATGTTGGGAAATAAGAGAAACGGACTATGATCAGACAGGCTGGATAGCAGAAACCACAATTATTAATAATTACTTAATTATTGTTGTTGTTAAAGAGGGGACATGTTGTCTTTTTTGTATTTTCAAGCTGCCTGAGGGGACATGATCCTCTGATTTGAAATAGCAAGAATTTTTACCTATTTAGCAAGAACTTTTTTTCATTTTTTTTACAAACCGTTCAAAGTTTCCAGAAATTTTCCCATGTTATATTTATATTTTTCTTCCAACTTTCAATGAAAGTGAAGGATATACATGCTTTGGGTGGTTTTTATTAGGAATGATTTTGACGATCAAAATACTGACCTTTAGAGAAAATATTTTGAAACCCCAATGAAGGTATTGACTCTGAGTTTGAATATAAGAAGATAATTCATCTGCAAACTACAGAATTAGGGGGGTGTACAACATTGTTATGCTCTGACTTATTTGAGCGCTCTTTGAAAAATTTACATATGGTTCTGTAGGCGTAGTGCAAATTAATTTTGCGCGGTGAATTATCAAGATATCAAAAATGTTCCAAATTGAATTGAGGCAAACTAATTGGTCACAATAATTCCCTATTTAACTCAAAAATTTAATAGTGTTTATTTTTGAATTGTTTTATGTAGGCCTTTGGGGCACGACAAACCTAAAAGCCCAAAATTTGTGGGTTATATTCAAATGTTCTTCAGTAGAACTATTTGAGATCATTTACATGGCTCTCGCAACCTTCCGGATTGTGCCCTACTATACAAGCAGTTTTGTTTACATTTTCTACATCAAATCTGAGCCTATTTTCACTTGAATGGTTTGAGCTTCTCCATATATATTTCAGTAAGAGTGATTTACCTATTTCCCACAGAAGCGATTTATTTCACATATTGACGCCCCCCCTCCTCAGGAATTTGACCCCCTGCCCACAGTTGGAACTATTTTACGACTATCATTTCTCCGCTGACCGACTCTAAAAACTTTCTATAGGCGCTGCCTTCGCAGTCATCATAGACTGATTTTAAACATGGAGGGGAACGCGGCAAATCATTTTATCGAAACCTTCCAAAAGAGCGTGAAAATGTCAATTTTAGCATAGTTTTTTGCAAATATTGTGCCAGCTGTGCTAAAATTTTTGGTCCGAGAAAAGTTTTAAAGAGTTTTGAGAGAGCTTGGAAAAATAATTTAGAACGCGCCCAGACAATTCGGCTAAAGACAATTCAGCCAATGTGAAATTCCGACAATTCAGTCAAAAATATAGAGACAATTCAGCCAATAATAGTGACCGCCGCAGTCGCGGCAACGGTTTGCGAGCTTGCCAACAGAGGGTAGCACTCTATACAAAATTTAGAGCCGGTTATCACCGCAAAGCGGCGACGCGCGCCCACCGGCGACCTTAAACCGAGAAATAGTCCAATTCTGATTTTTTTCGTTCGAATTTAGCGTTTTGTAAAGCTAGCTGAAATGTCTGTATATTTTTGGCTGAATTTCAAATTGGCTGAATTGTTTTTAGAAGATTTAGAAAATATTAATCCTTCCTCTGAAAACATTTGAATAAAAAAAGAACAATATATATATAAATTTTGAGAAGATAATTTTTTACTTTGCCTTAACAATCCAATTTCATTTTGAACAATGTCATAAAAAGTTTACCGTCTGAGCAGTTCAAAACTTTTTCAACAAAAAACATTGAACAAGAAAATCAAATGCAATCCAAACTGAGTTTTTTGCAGGGCAAAAGCCGCCGAAGAACACTAAAATGGTACCATTGTTTACTGTTGAAGCTGAAATCGGTTAGGCTGTAATAGAAATGCAGCTAGATGTAAAGTTTGAGCTAGTCCTCTCACACTATCATTGACTGTCATGGCTGGGAATCAAATACACGATCTGAGGCTCTCAAATTTAAATGAAATCCGGTTAATAGAGGTGAAAATCTTCAATTTTAAAAGCTAATTTTACCTTAAGTTTTAGGGATGTTTTAGATTCTAGCATTTGACCTGTTACTTACCAGGCGTACGCCCTGACCATTAACTACGCCATAATCATGGCAACGATGAAAATTAGTCAACATGATACCGCCGTTAATAGCATAAATCATTAACTCATTCAATCAAGAACGGGCTCTAACTTCATGCAATCTTAAACTGCTAAAAAAGAGCACCAAAAAATCCGCATAACCCAAAAACGTTCTTTATTTCTCATTTAGCTAAAAATTTTGAATAAACCTGAGAATAAAAACGGCTAAAACGGATTGATGCAAACGTTACCTCTCATTTCGAAGGCAAGCACAGCAAGCGTTCACTACTCCGAGTGAGTTTTATCTGTTGTTTGTGTTCATGTTACGTCATTAAATAACCGAGAACTATTTATTTTTCGTAGCAGTGTATTCGGTTGTTACTTGGCCATTTTCTTTGCAACGCTTCGGGATTTTGCTGAATATGCCGACCGAGTTAACAAAGCGACTAATTTAATCTCATTTTATAGTTCTCCAAAACCAAAACAAGATTGATGACAATTTAAACTAACGATCACCATTACGACGTTCTTTATATAATCTATAAAAAAGTACAAGAAAGTGTTTTGTATTTCTCAGATACAGAAGCAACCGACCGAATTCTCAGAAATAAATTGCATTGTATTCAATCGCACTCAAGGTTCAAAAAAATATAAAACGTTTTTACAATATATATAAATCTGAGGTTCTGTAAAAGGCTCTGTATATTTCAGCGCCAGAAACAACCACACTCCTGAATCTCGTGCGACACTCGCCACATACATATAATTATATAAAATATTTTTTCGCAAATTTTTCAATTTTTTTTCAAATTTTTTTCGCTATATATATATATATATATATATATATATATATATAGCGAAAAAAATTTGAAGACCATACATGAGCCACAGTGGGACTCGATCATAAATACTTTACAGGAAAATTCAGGCAAACCAGAAGAATCATATTTTAGTATTTTAGAAGCACGATGAAAATGTAAATCAGGAGTAATTGAAAGCTGTCAAAGCCAGGGTTTATGGAGTGATCAGAAAAACGGGCAAACATTGATATTCAATAATAATGCTTCAAAATTTCGAGTATTATTGAGTCCCAATAAGAATCAGTCATAGCAGTTAGAAGAAATTAAAATTATTTTGAATCCGGATTTTATTAGGTTTACATCTGAAATGCTCAAACAACATGAGCCGAAGCCATGTACGCCGAAAGAAACTTTTCAGTGAAAAAGACAAACCTGCAAAGCCCGAGCTAGTAAATTTTAAATAACAGAAAGTAAAAAAAACTTGAAATAACAGGGAAAATAGCTTACAGCACAAAAAATTCGTGATCTGGCAACTAAGGTGACAAAACAAGCAAACAGGCAACAAGCCGCCAATGAAATTTTCCTAAAAAAACTACGATACAAGCAAGCTAAAAAAAATCAAGCTCCGGTAGGGTACAAGAGAAAATCAACAATACTTGTATTAACAGGGCAAATTGCTTACAGCACAAGAAAAATCTGTGATGGTTCAACTAAGCCGACAAAACATTAGCAACCAAACAATAGACCGACAATGCAAAATTTCCCGCAAACATACTGAAAAAAAATACAGGCAAGACTAGCAGAACATCTGGAAAAAAAATTTTTTCGAAAACTTATTAAAAAAACCCAATTACATCAAACTTATTAAATACGAACTTGATACGCAACTTTAGGAGAGAGCTGGATCCCAAAAAAGGTAATATTAAAAAAAGAGCAAGTAAAGAAAATACAAAACACAAAAATTCTCTTTTTTTTCAAAATTTCAGCGCCAGAAACAACCACACTACTGAATCTCGTGCGACACTCGCCACATACATATCTTTGTAGACAAAACAGTCAAATCAAAATTATATAAAAAACCTCGGAAACTTGAGAATTTTTTCGGAAAACAATACGCGACGCTTTGATTGATTTGATACGCAACTTGAATTGATTTCAGAAAAATACTCAACCCTTATAAACACCAATAAATTAAAGCTTAAACCAATTCCACTTAGTTTTAGATGAAAATAAAAAAAAACCATGCATCCGAAACAACTGAATTTTTTTCGACGGTCAAAAAAAATTTTTTCGAATTACTTTTTAAAAACTGAAAAAAAACAGTACTGAAAATCTAGCATAAAAGTTCTAGAAATACGCCGACGAAAATTGGGATGATATCAATAAAACCGACAAAAAAAAATCAATCTATATCTCAAATTTTTCAGCTGAAGACCAAGTATCATTTCAGTAGCTCTAGACCAGGTGCTTTAAGTACAGCTTGGCTGCAATTGGAGATTCTGTGGCCAAAGATATTATAACAAGTCTAAAACGCGATTGCAATAAAATTTATTTAAGTTTGAATTCATCATATCATACTCAAAGTCTATTTACGCATCAAAGATCGTAGTTTTTTCTTTTGCCCTGAACTATCCAGCGCAATGATCTTGAAATACGCTACTGTAAATAAAAGAGCATAAGTTTTTACAATTTTGTCTCAATTCGATAGACAATTGTCAGTGTCAAATAAGCATTGCAACGAAATTTACTAAGCCGTCAAAATTTGGGTAGACTTCAGTTGAGCCAGAAAAACTATAAGCAATATTAGGTAAAAACTTTTTAGAAAGTCGCAGTATTGAAATTTCACATACCCGCAGCCCCACACGCACAAAAGAACGTACAATTATTATCGCCTTTGAAACGAGGTAAATAGGGCGACCTCAAGACGAACTCAAGAAAACTGAAAAAAAAGTGTTTTACTTTTTCGGAAATTTTTTTAAACTTGCGAATTCCAAAGATACTCTTCTAATCTTTTCTAACTGACGGTTTGTTTATGAAAATAACCCAATTAGAGGAAATTGGGCCAATAAGTAATTTTCCTAATTTGCTGGAAACTCAAAAATTAAAAATTCACTTTTGATCACTCTGAAATTTCGAGAGCGTCATTTGCCTTCCTTTTACCAAATGGATTTGAATTGAAATAGAAGAATCAGAAGTCAAACCGCAAAAGATTAAATTCGAGCGCAAAGAATGTTAGTTTTACCTAAAAAAAAACTATTTTCATAAAGGTATTTACTTCGTTCAATGTCACATGTCTTTGAAGATCACAAATTTGTCTTTCATTTGATAAAACGGGCAGTGCTGTGTAACCAATTTCGGTTCGTTAACTGTCCCCTCACTGTTTCTGGTGCTTCATATTTAAATTCTCGTTGTATGCAAATTTACCATTAACAATGAGAAATAAATTCTTTCTTTCTTTCACTTAATGAGCATTACAACATACCTAAACACAAGAAATCTAGATGCATCACAGAAAAAATTCAGTTTTCAAAACAAATAAATTGAAATGAAATCCAATATAAACCATCTGAATAAAACAATTTGTTAATTTTCGGAATCTAAATAAACATTAAAAAAAACTTAAACTTAGCCATTTTTCAAGTCTTCGTAAATCGGTTGGCATCTGGCTATAAGCTCATCTAATTGTTCAATTTCATTGAGACCCAAATCTGAACGTCCATATTTGACCTTTCTTCGGTTGCCCAGTTCTGTCGATCCAAGAGCATCTTCAAACATATCAACTTGAACCCCGTTGACCTTTTGACTCGCTGACCTTGAATCATCTGGAACCCACCAATTTGAGGGAAGTAATTTACCATCCGAAGGTGTTAGTTCCAACATTTCCTTGTCGAAAGGTAAATTTCCAAACTCACAAATTGATCTCAAGAACTTTCCGTTGTTTTCCGGACTCAAATTTTCAGAGTCAAGAACAAGAAAAGAGCGGCCTTGTCTTTTCAAACGGTCTCGTACTGTTTTTAAATTCGCAAAATATTGATCCAAAGGTTTGATTTTTATTAACTCACTTTGAATGAAGTAAGGCGCTAGCTCACCGTCAACTCTAAACATGGAGAGTGCAATCTTCTCTGGACTTCGTATTAGCAAAATGTGATTAACTTCCTCATTTTGGATCCAATATTCAAGCTCTTCGGGGCTCAAATACATGCCTGTGTCCTTGAAGAACACGTGATCTTCTTGCGAAAACTGGTCGATCACTTTTTGGTGCACTCTTTCGCCGTTTGAACGTCGTTTGCCCAAAGTATATGGTTGAAAGAGACATTTTATTTCTGCGTTGTTCGAGAGAGCTTTGCAAATAGCAGTTGATTTAGTTCGTGGAAGGATCCATAATATAAGTTTTCCCATCTGTGTCTGTAAGTTGGAAACTGAAGTAATTGAAGTCAAAATTAGTATCTGAATGAGAACAAGAAAAAATCTAACAGCCTACAATTTGTATCGAAAGGTGTGAGTTCAAAAAAGGAAGTTACAACGAATTACATATGATGATATTCGAGCGATATAGTTAAAACATACCACGAAGTTTTTTCAAAAGCTCGTTCAAATGAATTTCTTTGACTGAACTGGTGGCGCAAAACTTTCAATTTGAGACCCTTTAGTCAGTTTCAGCGGGCGTAAAATATTATCTTATCATAATTAAATATTGACTCGAAAGATTTATCTAGGTATTCGACTGATTTAAACTGCAGAGGTGTTCATTTTTAAAAAAGCTCCTTATAAGCGTTATGACAAAGTGACGACATTTTCACTCATGGCTAAAAATAAAGTTCGATCAACAATCAGTCTATCTTCAAAAAGAAATGAAAGCTGACCGACCATATTTGCACACTATAATGCTCATCATTAGTTTTGTCACGAACTTTAAATGTTCTTCTTAGATTTTAATCCAGCTTCTTGTTCGTAGAAAGGCTATTTTCTGACCGTGTGTTTCTCTAACAAGGAACAGATCACCACTGCAAAAACTTAAATAACTTTTGATGTGAGAAAAAAAATCACAAGAAACAAGGATAGCAGAATGTTCCGACCATATGCTCCGAAAGAATGTTCCGACCACATTCAACTAAAGCAAAATAGATTTTTTAGCTTCTTCAAATAAGTGTCGTTTGAGTGGGTGGTGTGATTCGAGAACTAAACGAACTTTTTCATATTTTTTGCACAATAGTTTTAATTTCTTTTTTGAAAATCTTTAATGTCAAATAAGCGCTGAAAGAAACATCCAAAATTAATAGTAAAATCAAGTTTTGTGAGCCTAAAAATATTTTTTAAAAATAGCTTATTTCCATATAACGAACGCTAATCGATCGCGGTTTTTTCACTAGAAATTGAACTAAAAATCGAAAATTTTACTGACGTTTTTTTCGACACTGGGAAAATTTTTCGGACATTTTTTTATGTCGTTCAAACCACGACTGAACGGGCTTTAATATGATATACCACTCACCTCTGTCCGATGATTTTGCGTGGGAAACAAAAAACCGAAAACACCTGAATACAAAGTTCCTCCCCATTTTCAATGGTCAGGACAACAAGGATAACAATAATTCCAACGTACTCTAAGTACAATAATTAGAAAATATTTTAAAAAAATCGTTTTCTAACTTTTTTCAGGCCATGTTGTAACTGCGTTCTGTTAGAATAAAAACAGTCCAACCACAACATCAACCGATAACAATATCGTTTATCGTTACATTTTCGCTACGCTTTAATGATAATGGTATATATTCATTCATTATTGTTCCGACCATTGAAAATGGGGAGTAATATTGTATTTGGATGTGTTTTAGTTTTCTCTTTTTCTGTTTTCCAAGTAAAATCACGCACCACAAATCATCATCGGATTGGGTTGAGTGATATATCATAATCGTAATTCACATATTGGGTAATCGTAATTCGGATTACATCAAAAGTTTTTCCAAAAATTTGTCTCAGTGTAGAAAAAAAACGGGTTTGAAGTTTTTGGGATGCCTAATTTCGAGCAAGTAACGCAATCGAGTAATGTAAGTTTTATAAAAATTGGACATTTAGGCTCAGAAAACTAGATTTTTCTAAACAGAAAACTTCATTTAAAATTGCTTTTACCGCTTCCTTGGCCATAAAAATTTTTCTTTAAGCTTGAAAGCTTCCTGGGCCATAAATTGTCTTAAAACCTTCCTTGGCCATGAGCTTTCTTAAAACCTTCATGTCCAAAAAAATTATTTTGTGCAACTAGAACTTTTAAACAATTTTTTTGAATTTTTTTTCTCTATACTTGTCTGCTATTCGTTTTTTTAAACCAATTGTTCACAATTTTGCCTAATTCGCTAAATTAAGCATTGGTGTGATTTTCTCATTCTGTCATAGACAAAAACGACACAAAAATTAAAAAAAGAAAACTCGTTTCCTTGTAGTTTTTATATGAATATGGTTGGAACATTCTGTGCTACTTGCACAGCAACCGGCTATCCTTGGTTTTATTCATCTTTTGTTCACGTAAGTTACAATATCATAATTTTACTATAAGGAAAGAGCGAGTACAGTCAAAAGGTTGCTATAAAAAATTTTAATAGCCGATAGCGACAAAAGAAATTTGGCTGCTAAGGTATGACTTGAAGAGAATGAATAAGTTCGTCAAATTGAATCTCAATTTCTCATTAATCGTTAACCAAAACTTTAGCTGGCTGATATTGCGACTGATCAGAATGACAGATAATCATTTTTTTAATCAATAGCACAGATTTATTAGTTGAATTTTAATGCAGACGGAAGAAAATCGTATGTAAAAGGACAATAAAGTGCTGATTTAAAATAACCGGACAAAACTAACAAAAGTTGAAATTTCAAACACGTTTTTCTCAAATTGTGTTGAGATAAGACAAACAGTGAACAGGACAAAAGTTGCTTAGAATTTCACCAGAGTTAATATGGTGCAATTTATTCTCCAAAATTGTCAACCAAAAATTTACCCCAAAAATGGGTCATCTAGAGTTATTTTTTAACTAATCTAGAGTTATGCTGAAACTACCTTAGTAATAGAGGAGAAAATTATAACATAAAAAGCCATTTACATAGTTCAACAAAGTTCTAGGAGGCTGAAATCTCCAAAAATTTGCTTAAATCTCCAAAAATTTCGGAGAAAAAATTGCACCACATTAATTCTGGTGAAATTCCAAGCAACATTTGTTCTCTTCACTTTTTGTCCAATCTTAATCCAATTTGACAGAAACGCGTTTGAAATTTCAAGTTTTGTTCGTTTTGTCCGGTTAATTTAAATCAGTATTTTATCATCTACCCTATGAACCAATGTACACCCTGCCTATGCTAATCCCCTTGCGCAATTCTTACTCGTACGAAAACACCCGACAATTAACTCGACTTTTCATCAGTGACATTCAGGAACATATATGAAAGTCGTAAGAATGAGCTGCATTACATGGGGATTATCTCAGTTGAAATTGTAAAAACAATTTGGGCGACACGAGTTCGAGAAAAAACGCGCAAATAACAACAATATCCTCTGGAAGTATTCAAGACGTGACACGCAAACAAGTCATTGAAAAACTGACTTGTTTTTCAATTTAACCGTTTGAAAAAACAGGTCTAGGCCAGATTCAAATTCAGGACCTTTGCTACCCAGGCGTACTCGTTACCTCCAGTCTAAAATGGCTGAGAACGCTCAGAATTTAAATTCATTATGAAACAAGGTACAACAAGAGATGAGTCCAGAAGTCCACTAAAGATGACGGACAAAGTTATTGAAGGGAAAAAAGTATGTTACCTGATTGCAATACATTTATTACCGCAAAACATAGTCAACTGACAGTTGTAACAGAGCAATGAACGCAAAGAAACAAAAAAAACTGTCGTTTTTTGAAAAAAACTTCAACTTGCGAATTTTTAAGAGAAAATATATGCCGTGAAAGCTCTTTGAATTTCAAACAATTTATGTTTGACCCTATTTGAGAAAACTGTATCAATAACTAAAATTTTCATTTCGCTGCATTATCTGATAATTAAATTCCATTTTCAAAACTAAAAGTCCGTCACGTTTTTCTAACCGCGTATGCCCTGTAAAAATATAGTTTACCTTTAAAAAACCAGAAGTCTAATCGCGTAAAATCAAAATTGAGCGTGAACTAAATACAGATTTTTCCTGAAAAAAAAGAGTACTCAACATGTTCATTTCTTTCAAAAAAGAATAGGTCGGACCAGGGTAGGTCAAAAACTAATCGGTTAACAGAAATATAAGTTTCAGTTAATTGCAATGTTAAAAAATAATCATCAATTAATTGTCACAACCCAAAATTGCAATTAATTGTAAGCACGAAGCATGACTCTTGGTTAACAAATTTTGACACGAGTTCATTGTCCAAGTAATTTTTGTTGATTTTCAGAAAAAACTGCATTTCCAGATTTTGCTGCATCAAATTTGGCCGAAGACCAGAATATGCATATTCTACAGTACTGAAAAATCTTTCAAGCTAATTTGAAATCGGAAGGAAAAATGTAATTTTTTTTCTGAGAAATGTGCGGGTGTCAATTGCAATTCATTGGCGCAATCAATTAATTGTAATTGGTCAGGAGTGGCATTCTATTGATTGCAATAAGAAGATCAATTATAATTGCTCTTAATTGCAATGACAATTTATTTTTGACCTGCCCTACAACACACTCCACAGCAAGCTATGGTCTCGCAATTCTAACCATTTGGTCAGTTCGTGGGGTATTCAACATATTCAGAGCTCAACCTCTTAAAGTTAAACATAGTCAGGGCATTAAACCCATAAACCTACCCGGTTCTGATAACCTAACCACTCCTCCAGCCTGCCTATTTTATTATGGCTTCCGTCACAATTACATGTTTTTTTACAGCAAATGGACAAATAACGTGCTTTTACCTATAACGCATATATGTTAACATATTTCATCATTTTACTGGCAATTGGGATGAAAACTAAATGCATTTCGAAAAAAAAATAGTACTGTGCCGAATGATCGACTGACAGATAAATTGGGTGAAAACCTTTCTTCCGGTTAAAAATTGACAGAACTCGTCTTACCATTTATTATACTAACTTCCAATTTTTTAAATTCTCTCTATTATTAAAGTGTACTGCACACGATCAGACTTAGAATGAACTGAATTTTTGCAATAGAACGTAACCTCCAGTAGGACAAATATTTATTTCTGGGACAAATTTTTCAAGTATTATTAGTCAAATAAAGTTTTAAAGAAAGATGATGGAATGAAACATATTTTTATGGGAATTTTGTCAAAATTCCTATGACCTCCACGGGCTACAACTTCGGCTTGTAATTAATTAAAAAACCGAATGATAATAATTTATTTTCAGTATTAATCGACAGACTAATTTCATATTTACTGCCGATATGCAATTTTTATAGGAAGTAGTAACACAGCTCTTAAGTCTAAATCACAAAACACACATTTGAAAACTGTCCTAAAAATATAAGTACGAAGAACTTACTTTTTTACAATTCAATTTTATAGAAAACTGGTTCTTATATTAAATCACTCGGCTTCTTTCAGTAAATCATCTTCAAACAAGCGTTGGTTCCCAGCCTTCGCTAAATATTTTGATACCTTAATTAAATTCTTTACTTTGAGCATGGGCAAGTGAACACGATCAATAACACAGTAGAGCTAGATGCAAAAAAAAAACTGAAAAATGCCTAAAACTTTTCTAATAAAATATTATTAATAACAAGATATATTTTAACAACACAGCAATTTCTTGTTGATACACCTAAACGTTTCATAGCAACCATAAGAATAAACTCTAATTAATATATAAAATATAACTTGACCTTAATTGAAGAGCAAAAATATGAGATAATAAGAACCAGTTTTCATCAAAATAAATTCAAACGAACAGTATTCAAACCAATTCAACCCATTCGAGAAAATAATTTGTGACACTCAAATCTTCTTTTGGGTAAGAAATCTGATAACGAGAAAACAATTTATTAAATTGATACTATAAAAAAATATTCATATAAACATGTTTACATAGCAGCTACGTAACAGTTCAATTTCGCGTAGCATGCGCTGATGAGATAAGGATGACTCTTATTAAGTAATTTAACTGGAATTTCAAATGATTCAAATTAAATAGAAAAAATTGAAGATATAATCTACAATTAAAATGTACAGTTATAGTGGCACCGCGTGTAGCGAATTTTGGATCCAGTGACAAGAAGCAAATTCTAATTTATCAATTCTTTCGAGCAAATAGACTTACCGAACCCACTTCTCATCGCAACCATTTTTTTGCTCGAGAAAAAAGGATACAGGGGTTTTGGAATTGTGTGGATATTTCGTAAACCAGAATTTCAATAAATAAAACGCATACAATCATTTATAGCGTAGTTCATTTCGTGTCACTGGCCTCGTTTAAGCATAGGCATATTGTGTTATGAGGGTAAGGTAGGGTGGGTTCCATAGGCTGATTGGTGTGCTGAAGAATGAGGCGAAGGAACTCATTCAGTGCATCAGTGTACTCTGCCATTAGAGGAGTATGAAGTTGAGGAATCTTAGCGCGAGGATCTGAGGTCGGTGCTATGATGGCAGGATAGGAATCGGGTGTGCCTCTGTGTTGAATACCCAGTGGTCCAGTGGTATTAGAGAGTCGTCCGAGAAGAGTAGATAGAGGTACTTGAGGGTCTCTGCCAGGAAGAAACTTTGCTGCACGTCGTCCACTCCTGTGTTCACATTTGTGACGTCACGGATACCCGAGTAACCCGCCTCCTTCTTACAGTGTCTAAAACATAGATCTTTAATAGTCAGAAAAGTACCACGAGAATAAAAATTCTACAGAAGTATTACGAGCAGTTGTATTTCGCAAGCACAAGCGAACATGTAAATAATAGAACTTAGCCAATAAAGAGTTGGAAAAGAGTCAATGAACGCAAAGAAACAAAAAATTGACTTGTTTTTTGAAAAACTTCAAACTTCGAATATCAAAGAAAAAAATATATGGCCTTTAACCTCTTTGAATTTCAAGAACAATTTATGATTCACACTTTATAGATAAAAGTAACTCAATTTCAGAAAACTGAAGTGCATATACACCTAAGCGCAGGGGCGGATCTAGGATTTTCTCGAGTGGGGGGAGCGGATTTTCAATTTTTTTTTAAAAAATTTTGTCGGAGTTTTCTTTAATTTGACCAAATTGAGTTTCCGAGCGCTCCCAGAACACTAGCAGACCGTATCATGACAAAAAAAATTTGCGCCGCCAAAGTAAAATAAAAAAAAACAGGTATAAAAACGGTTTTTGGGACTTTTTGGAGAAAATTTTGTTTAAAAAATCGCGTTTGATTGGCACGCGCTCCCCCTCAAAATTAGTATATCTTGACACCGAAGGCACCTTTATAAAAATTTGAGAGGCTCTTTTCCAGTCCTCCCCCTTTGATATTTTCTGAACTTCAACTTATAGAAGCCTATTTGAAATGAATTTTCCTGGCTGTTATAAACTCCGTTAAAACGGGTCAGCGTGAACAGGTGAACAAATTTTTACAACATTTCACAGGCAAAATTTTGTGTGAATAATTTTGAACAATTGTATTTTGTAATTTTGCGAGGGGTGGGGAACTGAAAAACGGTCATTTTAGAGTCGGTCTGCCAAAAAATGGATTTCTTATGAAGTACCAAAGGGGGACCATTTGGGTCGGCAGGCGGCCGCAACCCTGAGTGGGGGAGGGGTGTCCGTCGTTCTCTTCATAAATCCACCCCTTCCTAAAAGCATTCATAAATGCAAATATTCTCTATGAATTTCTAAGCGCTCTTCCCCATATCTATTTGGAAACGGCCTTGTAGTATAGCGCAAGCTTCGCTCAGGTATTCATAAGTTTAGTGGATTTTCATTCGTGTGCCTTGCTGATCTTCGGTCACGGTTGGAGGGGTCCCAGTGTCATTGACCTCAAGGTGGGACCGGCATCAAAAAAATGTATGACGTCCCCCTTCCCCCTCGGTTGGTCCTGCATTGAGTAAGACCGGGGTAATTTTAACACAAAGGCGAAGCTTTGCTTCGCAAACACTACCGAAAACACGACAAAAAGCAGCTCTATAAAGTGCAATAAGAAAAATAGAAATAAGCCTAGAATTAGTAAAACTGCGGCTTCGACTCGGATTCGATCTGCGACCTAGATATTTTGAGTCTCGTACTCTAGGTTCGTACTAAAACAGTAGCTTCGCGCAAGTGTAAGAAATGGTTTTGAATATCTTACCTCTCTATGGCCTGTGCCGCCTCCCAGCCCCATTCTCTGTACTTGGGGTCATGTGTGGTCCTCCACAGCACAAAGTAGGACTCCACCACTTCTGGTCTCAGCAGGTACTGCTTCTCATTCGCCTTAGTGGGAGTGGCCAAATTGTTGCCCTCGAAGTGAAACGAGTCAGGTCCAATCTTGGTCGCTAAAACAGAGAAGATCAACTTAGCTTTTTTACTAGCATCAAGTTACCCAGTAGCGGTCTTTTGAGGTACGACACCTATGCGTTTTTGACCCATGACCATCCAAAACCCACCTAGTTATCGTTATTACACATCTATTCACACAGTCTAAGCTGCACTTCGCAAACGCAAGGAACGAAATCGACAAAAAAAAGAAATACAAAAAAATGCAAGAAAATACGACATCATAAAAATCAACCGAAATACGACATCATAAAAATCAACCGAAAATATTATTTTCCTTTCTTCAGAAAAATTTGAAGTAAAAACTGCAGTACTGTGATAGACAATTTGTCTTTCAAAAAATCGCCCAAATTGTTACTAAAAAATTGCATAAACAAACCTTCATAAGAATGCATTTGTAACATACTTTTTTTGACATAAAAAACTTTTCATATACAAAACTTTTAGAATTAAAAATAACCAGTAATTGATTAGCTACGAACTCGACCCGTTTACTACTGAGTTGCAGTGACAATGCCATATATAAACATAGCCAACATACAGTCAAACAGACAAAAATCACTTACACAATCATCGTATCGTATTTACTCAGATAGAGCCGTTACAAAAAAAAAATCAGAGTCAATGAACGCAGTTAAACAGAAAAAAAATATCGACTTGTTTTTTGAAAAAATCTCAATTTTCAAGCGAATTTCAAAAAAGTTCCCTTAAAGCTATTTGAATTTCTGGAATAATTTCTGACTGGCACTTTTTCGACATGTTGAAAAAACGTGGTGAACCTAATTTTCGTATGTCTCGATGAAGGACACCTAGAGCTCAGCTAAAGCTGGAGGTAAGTATTTAACATTTTTTGAATTTGTTATACTAATGTGAGACGAAATGCGTAATTTCAAACATTATTCTTCGCGCAAAACCTTAATTGTTTTCAACTAAAGTGAGAAGAGTGAAAAATTTTGAGATTTGGAATTTTCCCAAAAACCTAGCTTTTATTTTAAAAATAAACTAAGGAGGAGCTGCTTCTGCGGGAAAAATTCGCGCAACCGCTTCTTTCGATTGAAATTTTCTAGATTGAAAGTTTCTATAAAATAGTCAAAATTCAAAACAGTAACTTTTTTCTGCTGAACGCAGGTCGTGGCCGGTGAAATAGGGAAAATTTCCGAAATCGTGTTTCTCGATTGAACACTTAACTTGAGAAATGGCGAGTAATTTTCGAGTCGAGAAAAAAAACTTCCAAAAAACCCCCAATTTTCAAAACTTTCATTTGTTTAAATGTCATAACTTTTTTCTAGAAGAATTAAAAAATAAAGCTTCCTACAACCTTTTGGGTCGATTAAACCTGATATCAGTTTTGGCAGAATAGTTATCGAGAAAAGACAAAAACGGCCAACAAATCAGAGAGTTGACATTTCCACGAATCATAACTTTGAAAAAAACTGGGCGTAGCCGCTAATGTAGAAGAGATTCAACCAATCTCTTATTTCGATTGAGCCGTCAACAAACGGTCAAAAATCAAAACTTTGACTTTTCCGAGAGCCATAATTTCTTTTGTATAAAAAATTTGGGCGTAGACGCATATGCAAAGGAGCTTCCCACAACCCGTTCTTTGGATTGAAGATTGAACCCAAAATGTCAGATATAGAAGGGTATTTTTTGATTAAATTGAACAAATTTAAGAAAACGCTCAAAAAATTGACTTTACTGAGAACGATAACATTGTGTAAAAAATGAAAAGGTGGGTGACACCGCTAATGCAGGGGAAGTTCCCAGTACCCGTTTTCTCCAATGAACCGACAACCTCAGGTTTGAGAGAAATTTTCACAAAAAACGGTCGAAAAAATCAAAAATTTGACTATTCCATAACTTTATTTGCAAAAAAATTGGGCATATCTGCTTATTGAGGGGAGCGTTTTAACTCCGTTCTATTAATTGGGACCCAAATAAAATAGCTAATTGAAGATTAGAAAAAAGTAATGAGCGCAAGTAAACAAAAAAACACTAACTTTCTTGAAAAAATCTCAACTTTCGAATTTGAAAGAAACAAATAGATGCCCTTTAAGCTCTTCGAATTTCTAGAAAAATTTATGATTGGCGCTTTTTTTGGTAACATTAAGCCAAATTGAGAAAACTGGATCAACCGGTAAAGTTTTTATTTCTCTGGAAACTTAGAAATTAAAGTCCTTTTTCGAAACTAGAAATCGTTCAAGTTTTTTAGCGCCATTTCCACGTTCGTATTTGGAACGACCTAATTACGTCATTTTTAGCAGATAAATTTCAAGTCAACTCAAAAAGTGCATATATACCTAAGTGCATTCATAAATGCATCAATATGTATGAATGCACATCTGTAGTTATACGAGCATTTTCAGACTTTTTCCTGAAAAAAAAATCAGCAAGAACTATATGAGAGTCTTCACTATGTTCATTACTCTTAATCAAATTTATTAAGTTAGTTGTTGAGAAAACAATTAAAACATCGGTCAAATATTTCCCACAGACATTTTCGAAGCCTGTAGAAAAAACGGGAAAGCAAAAAGAATAGGGGAGTATGCAGGCAAACAAGAATATAGGCAAAAATCTGTACTCTTTCTTACTGAAATTAATTTGCATAGATTCAACAATCAGGTCTAGATATGATAGTACTTGAAAGAACGTTCTCAGCGGCGCTTCAACAGTTTCAACAAACTTCTATGCTTGCTCACTTTGGTGCCCTTTCAAGGACAAATTTTCCATTTTGTTGAATTATTTCAAAACTTGAAACAAATTTATTTACATAAATCAGACAAAATGAGAAAACTGGAACTATAGGGAAGAGTTAAATTCCGCGGACAATATTCAATTTAATGTTTTAACAATCAATCTTTCATATTTTTTTCGCGCCATATGTCTTTTCGTAATTTGATAACCAAATTTTCCTTCTTTTGAGCAAATTAAATAGAACTCATGACATGCATTTCTATGTATGAATGAACAGTTTTTCTCGACACTGGATCAACTTTTTGAAAATTGTTTATTGTCATCGGAATTACGACTGAAAGGGCCTTAATATTATATATCACTCGACCCATTCTAAAGATTATTTGAGGTACCTGATTTTACGTTCAAATTAAAAAAAAAGAAAAAACTAAAACATAGCCAATTAACAGTTGGACAAATGTAATGAACGACGCAAGAAAACGGACAAAAAACTGACTTGTTTTTTTTCAAGAGCCTTCAAGTTTTGAATTTCGAAAAAAAGACAGCCTATTAGCTCTTTGAATTTGTATAAAAATTTATGATGGACATTTTTTTGTTAAAATTAACTCAATTTGAGAAAACTGGATTTCGCTGGAAAATCTGATAATTAACTTTTATTTCGCTGGAAAATCTGATAATTAATTTCCATTTTCGAAATCCGAAGTTGATCACGCTCTTGGTGATTTTAACACATTTGTTATTCGATAGTGGAGTTTGCCTTCTTTTTAATTTAAAAAGAAATCATATGTCAAAACGCGAAAAATCAAAATTAGGCGTGAACAAATTTTTGAGAATTTTTCCTGAAAAAGTATCATCGCGATGTATTATACAAGAGTCTAAGCTGCGTTCAAAGACTCTAAATAGAAAAACTTTTTTTAAAAAACCGCCCATTTTTCAAATAAGAGCATATTAAAGAAAACTTGATTGATAGTGAGCCGCTTAAAGACAAATACAAGACGGAGTGAGGGTCTATTTCGAAATTTCGCTTCTGGCGTAAAGTCGAAGAAAACAGTTCATTACTTTTAATAGCGTAGAATGTGCTTATATCAGCAGAAATAATAACTGAAAAAGGCAAACAGAAGCTACAGAACAGTCAACAGACAGTTAGAAAACAGAACGCAAGAAAACAGAAAAACAAAACACTGACGCCAGAAAACAGAAAAAACACTAGCTTCATTTTTGAAAAATCTCAACTATCGAATTTTAAAGAAAAAATGCTCTTGAAACTCTTTTGATTTTTAATAACAATTTATGATAGCCAATTTTTAATAAAAATAACCCAATTTGAGAAAACTGGATCAAAAGGTACAGTTTTTGATAGTGGATTTTGTCATCCTTTTAACAATAGAAATGCACTGAACTTAAAAAGAAATCACAAGTTAAACCGCGAAAAATCAAAATTGAGCGGGAACAAATTTAGACTTTTTCCTGAAAAAAAAAATCAGCAAGACCTATATAAGAGTACTCACTACGTTCAATACTCTTACAAATGGAAATTTTAACAAGCCGAAATGCGAAATTAGAGCCAACATAAAAAAATGAGAAGGGGAGCAAAAAAGTGTGTTTTTCTTGATACGATAACAAACTTGATACTAAGACAATAAAAAACTTGGCCGTTAAGGAAAAACGAAAAAGGTTAAGAAAAGTTAGTAACTTCAGGAGTTACAAGCAACATTAATTAGAATTGCGTGCACCGCATTTAAAAAATGATTCTAAGATGTGGCATCTAAGCGGAAAAAACATAAGCAGACAATTAATAGGCCGAAAACCTTATTTGAAACAGAATATTTCTCGTTTGAAAAAAAAAAACCAGGTCCTCTTCAGATTCGAACTCAGGACCTTTGCCACCCGTCGTATTCGATACCTCCAGGCTAAGTGTGCCAGGAACGCTAAGAAATTTGAATTCAATGTGAGCCAAGGAGAGTTCTGTGAACAGAGTTATTTACGGGAAAAAATTCTAGTACCCGATTGCAATAACCTTGCTAATCACAAGGGTAAAGACAGTGTCCGGAAAACACCATGTGAATGTCTACAATTCGTTCATTGACACTTGAAAAGACTCACCTGTTCTAGTGTAACTCTCATGACAGGTGTTAGTGACGTCTGCACCCAACTTGATAAACTCCTCATTCTTCGCTTTGTCCACTGCAGTCGACCCTTTATTCTGATGCACATTGTAGTATCCCCCAAGAGCAAACATTCCCCCCACAAAACAGGCCAAATGGTCCATTTTATGGGTCAACCTAGAGCAATGAAAAGCATTTTTAAAACAACTAAAGTAGTTATCATAAGTGATCAGTAAATTTATACTTTCGGATGAATTTAAACTTCGTAATTTTAACATTTAAATCAAATTAATGCTCCTATATGAATTTCAGAGAATCTTTAATAAATTTTAACAAAACGCCAACGACTCACCTGTTGCCTCGCATTTCAGCGACATAGACTAAATTCTCTTTTTTCTGCACCAGCTTTTCCTTGATTGCAGAAGCTGCCGCGTCATACATCTCTCGTTGATCTGTGTCTGTTTGCGAGTGTAGGAGCCAACCCTTGAGAAGGTACTCGTAGAAACTGTCACCCAACCCACCAACCGAGTAATGGGCTAAAAGTAAAGGGGAAATAATGAACACTAAGATACTCTCCTCAAGTTTGAACTCATTTAATCAAACCCCTCATTGGCTGAAGATGGATACAGAGACGATTTCAGAAATAATCATTTATGATTTGGGATCAATTGCAATTTCACCTCTAATTTGATGCGCTGTCAGTGATTAACAGGCAATTTGAACAATAACTCCAATTTTTAACCGATGATAGAAAATGTTTGAAACGCAACAGATCCCAAATAGCGAATTAAATCAACTAAGTTGAAAACAGAGGCAATCTTAACAACTCTCTTGATTGTTTCAAATTTTCTCAATCAGTTTTGATTTGGGACGTTTGATTGATTTCAGAGAAAATTTATTTGAAAGACTATAGTTAGGAAACATGTTCTGTTAGCCTCACTTATATTTTTGTACTGGCGGCTTCCGTACAATATCATCTTAGCCCTTTCCAGAACTAATCAACAAAACAACTTATCAACAAAGCTTCATCATTACGCTTATTGCACTTCAGTGAACGGAGATTTCTGAATTTAGAATCCTAACTTGTCGGAAATTCTTTGAACCGAGGTCTATCATTAAAACCCTTTAGTTAAGTTTTATTCGTTTCTGTACACTCAGAGCGTACCTAGAAGTATTACTACGTTTAAACGATTGAAAGGTAAGAAGTATAAACCAAATATTGAACAACACAAAGCATAGAGCATTTCACAGAAGGGTACTTACGGCTGGTTGTTTTGGAACTTTTGGCCGGTTTTGCTACAAGTAGTTAAAACAAAATAATCTTAATTTAATTAAAAAATTATAACTTACCAAAAAGTTGAACAAAATCAACTGGTAATTCTGAAATAGTTTTACAGAATCGGGAAAAAAGACGACAGACGTTTCCCAAATTAACTTTGAAAAACACCTCATTCAGTTCTTCATACAATTTTGATTGAGAAATATATACTTTTTGGATTAACACTTTTTTAAATTTGAGCAACATTGTTTCCAAAGCTGAAAATGAAAAACTATTTTTGTTTCATCTCCACTTGCTTATTGGAGAGACCAATATTTAAAATTGAGAGAACGCGATTTCTACTCCTCTGCGTGGGGCTAGAACAGGCAAGAAATTCATGTGTAGAAGACATACTTATGATCTACTAAACAATCCACCACCATTAAAAAAAGTCTTTCTTAGAAAGAGGAGATTCTTAAGCAAATTAAGTTGACCAAAATGCAGGGGAAAAATAGAATTCCCGAAAACTTGAACCCTCTCAATTGCAACAGTTGCTGTTCAGGGTGGGAAAGGAATATGGCATAAGGTGCATTTGTCGTAATCTAGATTTTGATCAAACTCAAACAAAGCTCGTCTGGAGTCAAGTGTGGTAGCAAATTAGAGCCTTATTGGCCGTTATTCAGATTCAAAAAAAAACTTGTCAGCATATCTTCGTTTCAGACAAAACTAGATGAAATTACGTTACAGGCTGACATCTCTTAATTTACTTCTACAATCTCAACGTTATTTTGGCTATAATTTTCCCTCATTCCACCATTTTTCGCTAAACTTTGTCAGTCTTTATCGAAACGAGATAACAGAGACAAAAAATTGAGAGAAAAAATAATTTTCAATGTTTTTTTTTAATTTTTGAATATTTTTTATTTATTGTGGTCGGAACATTTTTTGCTACTTGTACAGCAATCAGCTTTCCACGATACATTTAACACAGAAGTGATTTTGAGAACATAGTTTTTATTCAGAGGAGGAAGAGACTCTTTAGTAGATGCCAGAGAGAGTGGAGAGGTGGGGGAGGGGGCTGGGGGTACAGAAGTTAGATCTGTGTCTCACCTGAGCCCCATTTTCCCGTGTTGGGATTGAGATAGTTGGTGTACATGTTCGTGTCAGTCTTAATAGATCTGATGTGTTTGTTGATCTTGTCCACCTTCTCGCGGAACACGGGGTCTCCACTCACGTGGGAGAGGTAGTCTAGCTCCAATTGGAGGGTACCGAACTCGGACAGGATGGAAGATCCGCCGGCTGCCCAGGGGTAGTTCTTGGTGTTCATCCTACATATAAAGTCAGAAAGATCAAAACTAAGACCGGAATTATGGTTTACATGAAATAAATAAAAGTAATGTTCAGTTCAGGTAACTTTTCTATGAAATACCAGTGATTAGGCAAAATGTCTTCTGTTTTCTTCAAAAAAAAAAAAAAACGCAATTCCTTCTTTCTTCAAAATAGGGAAATTAGTTGAGCCTTTCTTAGACTAAAAACATACGCTTAAACACACAGGCGAAGTTTCATACCACGTGCGATTAAACAAACATAAAGAAGTCGAAAAAAAGGAAAACGTTGAAAAAACTAGTTCTACAAAAAATTAAATTTTCGTATGTCTCGATCGAAGTTCAATCTAGACTAACATGCCAGAAATTTGAAAGTTAAATTAGCAACGGAACAAAACTTTCGAAAACAAACTGAGAGTCGCACCCCATACCTTAGGGTACAAAGGCGAAGGAACCTGGAGCTTGTGAAGGCTCAATAAAAACCCAAGTTGAAGAAAATTTAAAACGTTTAAGAAAAAGCCTTGTTCCCGATTTCAAAACACTTGCCCTCGCAAGTGTAATAATACCTAATGTTGTCAAACAGGAATTTTTGCCTTCGAAACAACGCACTGTAACTTCATTATGCCATTAAATATAAGCTGCCATAAAAGCGTTTCATCGAAAAAAAAACTACAATTATTAAAAAGCAGATTTGGTAAAATGACAAGTTACAAACTTTCAACAAGAGAAAAAAAATCGATTTCGAAATAAAACTCATGCTTAACAAAGAAGCTGAAAAAAAGAGTATCAAATTAAACAAATTTAATTTAGAAAAAAAAAAACGGGAAATGAACAGACAGAAACTAGGCCGAAAACGACGAATCCGAAAAAAGTCAACATGTTCAGGAAAATTATTTGATAAAAAATTAACACCAAAAACAGTCTACACCTATTTACTGACTAAATGAAGGTAGTTTTGTTTTCAATTTTCAAGAAATTGAGCATGTCTGAAATTGAGCATGTCTGAAAATTACCATTCTTGCACATTTGACCACTCTGTGCCTAAAGGGTAACTAAAAAAATGCGAATAATACAGCAGTTCGATTTGTTACATGATATCAGCGCTCCAATAAATTTGATCAAAATATTCCTTCCCTAGTAAACAGGGAGCTTCGGTAAGACTAGAACGGACATTTCTGATGAAGAAAGAATATAATCAATTTTTTAAAATAAATTAACAGGTTATCAGGTGTAAGGCATTTTCTAAGTATTTCCCTTCATTCGATGAAAAGAAAACAGACAACCTAGCATGCCAGGGTGTATCAGTTAAATGTGAGTAACATTAAAATAACGAAAACTCAGAGAAGTTATTACGGAGTTCAAGATAGGATCTCGACTGGACAGCTGACATTATTCTTCTAGTATATCAAAGCGAGTTTGTATATTTAGAGGATCAGTGTCTCACCATTATTCAAATAAGAGAACTTTCGAAAACTGTTCTAGACATATTTGAAATCTTTGTCATATACTTTAGGCAGGGGTCAATCCTTCGTCTCATCGCAGACGGAACGATTGACAGAAAAGTAAACTAGCCAATCAAAATTGGGTACTGGAAATAGGGTTAATCAGACTTAGCTTCGAACCTGAATTAATTTTGGACATTTTTAGGCATGTTTATTGACTGGAAATTTCTACCATTCGGTTCGTCTGTCATGAGAATATCTCTCTATAGCATAAGCCAAGTGCTTTAATTGAGAAAGTTTAGGGTTGAATTAGGATGGTGCTTACGTTTTGAGGTTGATGAGTGACTTGGGGATGCCTGTGTTGGTGTTGAACGCCGGCAGAACCTTCCGAGCAACATCCTCCGCCTTCACTCGGAAAAGCTGAAACAAAAACAAATCACGCAAAACTGGATTTGGAGTTGCATTTGTATACTGTTAAGTATACCTAAATTAACATTATAAATGCTTCTTAAAAACATTATTGAATCAATTTAGGCTATTCTGAAATTATCTGCATTTTCTTCTAAGATTTTCCTTCAGTCGAATTTTGAGTTGGCAAAAAAAACTCTGTATAGTAAATGCCAAATTGTGAAGATATATCGATAGTTAAAAAATTAATACAATTACAATGGTCGAAAATTAACCATTTTTCACCACGAAAAAAGTTTCTATGGGTTCTCATAAGATTATTTCAGGAAGGTTGGATGATCAAATGTAGCAGATCTTGTAAATTGCAATTGACAAACTTTCAAACAACCGTCCCAGCTTACTGAACGTTTTTAGGTTCTTCTAAATAGGTTTTTGAGGTCGCCGCCAAATGGTTAAACGATTATAACTTCTTTCGAGACATCTCGCAAAAATTGATTTTAAAAAATGAAGCAAGAAACTGAACGAGAAAAAACACGTCACGAGAAAAATCAGCAAGCCAAACACCGAATTCATCAATATCAGATGATGGCATTCCATCAACATGGACTACAGAAGGGACAAAACTTTTACCTGAGAAAACTTATCACAAAAATAGATTGCATAGAGTGACTTCAAGGCAAAAATGTCATTCATCAACGCTTTGCCATGGAAATTTAGAGAGCAAAAATCATAAGCACGGACAAAAAGGACGTTCAAAGAACAATTTAAAAATTAGTCTAAACTTTACCGAAAATTTTTCAAATTCATCACCGTAGATCGGCTTCAATTTCAATAATTTCTTATGATTGATCTTGGTAGAATAAACCTAAAAAGAGAAAACTGGATGAAAATGTATTTTATTTCTGCTGGCAATTAGAAGACAATGCCAATCGAAGATGGGAAAGGAGTAATGAACGCAAGTAAACAAAAAACACTGACTTTGTTGAAAAAATCTCAAATTTCGAATTTGAAAGAAACAAATAGATGCCCTTTAAGCTCTTCGAATTTCTAGAACAATTTATGATTGGCGCTTTTCTGATACATTAACCCAACTTGAGAAAACTGGATCAACGGGTAAAATTTTTATTCCGTTGGAAATCTAAAAATTAAATTCCACTTTCCGAACTAGAAATCGTTCATGATTTTTTGCGCCATTTCCACGTTCGTATTTGGAGAATGCTATTTATGTCACCTTCAGCAGATGAATTTCAATTGATTTCAACAAGTGCATATATACCTAAGTGCATTCATAAATGCATCAATATGTATCAATGCACATCTGTGGTTATAAGAGACTTTTCCTGAAAAAAAAAACAAAAGCAAGATCTATATAAGAGTCTTCACTACGTTCATAACTCTTAAACAGAAAGTTGAAAAGTCTCAATGAACAACAAGACTAAAAAAACAATTGATTGATTTTTTTTAATAAAAACTTTCGAGTTTGAAAAAAAAAAGATACATGGCCTCTACGCTCTATGAATTTCAAGAATCAGTTACCATTGACATTTTTTGTTGATGAAACTAAGCAACATTCAGAAAACTGGATCAATAAAAAGTTAGCATTTTATTCCTCTCGGAATTCTTAAAACTGAAATGCACGGTCAATACTAGAAGTAGCTCGCGTTGTTTTGCGCCATTTGCTACAACATATTTGGAGAGTGGAGTTTGCCAACTTTTCGGCGAATTATTTTAAATTGAGAAAAACTTACATAAATCAAAAAATTTTGGTTTTTTAGCGCCATTTGTATTTGGAAAGCTATTTTGTCTCCTTTTACGCTAATGAATTCGAATTGACCTTTTCAGTTTCAAATTCATTTCAAATGAAATTGAACTGAAAACATAGCCACTAGACAGTTAGAAACGAGTAAAAAGAACTCACGGAAATCGAACAGCTGATTAAAATTTTGAAGAAAAATATAAATCACGATAAAGCCTATGTAATTTGTACTTTTTTTTATTCCGGTGGGAATTAAAATTCAAGTCTAGTTTTTGAATCAAAATTCATTCAAGTTTTTCGTGACCTTTACAATTTTACTGTTCGACAGCGGAGCTTGCGTTGCTTTAAACAAAAGGAAATGAAAAAAAAACTCATGATTTAAACCGCAAAAAAATTATCACGATCTATATAAATGAAAATCATTTCGTTATTTATTACTTAAACTTAAAAACAAATAGAAGGTCAAACCGCAAAATATCTAAATTGAGCAAGAACAACTCAATTATTTTTTCACGAAAAAACAAAAAAGCCGCACAACATAAATAAAAGTCGTCATTTCGTTCTTTCGACACATTAAATTTAAAAACCTTCAAAATTTTTGAAAAAGCCAACGGGCAATTGGAAAAGAATCACAAACGCAAGGAAACTGCCGTGTTTTTTTTTTGAAGAAAAAAAATTTCAACTTTCGAAATTCAGAGAAGAAATATTTGGCCTGGAAGCTTTTTGATTTTCAAAAAATTATTATTGACATTTTTCTGATATAATTAACCCAATTTCAGAAAACTGGATCAATGGGTAAATCTGAAAACTAAACGCCACTTTCGACTGAAGTCCATCACGTTTTTCTATTAAAGCGTAAATAGAAAATTAAATTCTTTCAAGTTGAACTGAGGCAACAAATTTGGAACTCTCACGCGCAAAATATATGACTTGATACTTGACATAGCTTGTTATTCGCGATTTTATCATTTTTTGATTATTTAAAAAAAATCAAGCAAAAAGATAATGACAAAAAGGGGTAGTCGGAACAGTCAGAGCACTGCCATAATTTACGTGCAGTCTTGTTTTTGTACAACAAAATTGGGGCAAGAATTTTGTGCAACCTACTAGTTTTCGTGTTTTTTCTATATTCTTATTGCAATATATTGCAATATTCTTAATCTTCAAGGATTTCCTACTTTATTAACCATATTTTAATTTTCCCCTATTGTGCGAGTAATTTAATCTAAGATTGTTTCTAGAGATGTTTTAATCAATTTTTTACACAGAGGCGAAGTTGCACTTCGCATACACAAGCAAAAACATGACCAATAACGCTACTGGGAAAAACTGAATGAGATAAAATTTGAGTCTACAAATATTTTTAAGTGACGCAAGCCAATTATGACGCATTAGAAGTACCAGTCAATTTGAAAAAAAAATTTACCTGCTAACATGCCTCAATTTATAGAGCGGACGCATTTTAACTAGGATATGAAAAAGTTCATTGAAAACATCCGACCCTGCCCAGGTTCGAACCCTCATATTTTGTTGCTGGTCTCCTTCCCTACTGCTACGCTACAGATCCATGATACCTTGAAGCTACAGTGATATTTGTAATATAATAGTCTGTGCTAACATCCTTAGCATTGGCTGTATTTTATAGCTGGATCAAAAGGAACTTTGAAAATGAGCACATTTTGTCGCAACAATTACATCGCAACAATATTTGCGACTTAGGTTGAAAAAAAAAGAAAGTTCATACCATAACACACGCTATGCTAGTGTAAAAATGTTGTCGGAAAAGTATTATATTTCTTTGGGTTGTTTTTCTAGCGCCTGGATTGAATTTGTCAATTGAGTTTTATGTTTCATGGATCTTTTTGCTGCTATTCACGCTAAAACTTTCCGTTTGAAAAAAAAAACAGTCAGCAGACAGTTTTCAAAGAGTCAATGAGCGCAAGTAAACAAAAACAGAATTTAAAAGAAAACAATAGATGACCTTAACGCTGTTTGCACTTCTACGACAGTTTATGATCGGCAATTTTCAAATAAAATTAACCCAATTTGAGAAAACTGGATGAAGTAAAATTTATATTTCGCTGGGAAATCTGAAAATTAAATTCCTATTTTGAAACTAGAATTTTTTCGTGACCTTTACAATATTGCTGTTCGATAGTGGAGTTTGGCGTTCAAAAAAGGAAATAAAGGGAACTCAAAAATAAATCAAAAGTCAAACCGCGAAAAATCAAATCTGAGCGTGAACAATTTTTAAGACTTTTCCTGAAAAAAAAATAATGACCTATATAAGAATCTGAACTACGTTCATCGACTTTTAATTATCACCGGAATGGATTGAGTGATACATCAAATTAAAGCAACTTCAGTCGTGAGTCGAAAAACACTACTTTTACATTTTATACTGAAATAGTGTCGCATCTATAGATTTTTTTGACAAGGGCAGAAACGAAGAAGTACTGACTTTGTCGCCGGTGAGTGCGTAGATGGAGAGAAGACCCCCAATGAACCGGATGTTGGTCTCAAACACAGACACATCCCCCGTCTAAACAACATGCACAAGCATATCTCAAATTCAAAAATGTAAGTCAAACGAAAAATGTTAAGTGCTTTCAGTTACTAGATATTCTAAATACAAACTAATAGATCTTCTAAATGCAAATATTTGACCTCAAATGCCGAAATTAATTTCTTGAATTATTTCAAAATAAATTTATCGGGTATATTTATCAACTCAAAAATCTAGAACTAGCTTGGAATTTTTTTTTTGGAAATTGAGAGTGGTTTAATAACTTCTGTTCACACTAACTGGATTGAAGTTGAAACTGAGTGCGATCCACTCTCTTGCCTCCTCGTACTCTTTGGACAGTCCCATGATGTACAGAGTATCTATTGCGTCTATTATTGTAGCACCTAAAATACCAAATCATTTCCATTTTGCAACCATGTCAATGGTTCATCTGCCTCATACTTGTACAATAAACCACAAACAAAATCAGATCAAATCTATTCAAGGTCGTTCATTCAAGTTCTTATGACTGGTTCTTCCAATTGGAAAACTGATTCTTCGATTTTTGTTTACCAGAGTTGCCGGATCCGAAGATGCCTGCCGAGTGACCCTTCTTGGAAACGGGTCGAACCTCATTCGCTCCCCAGCCATACTGCTTGTAGCCACCCCAAGCATGTTTCATCATCTATACAAACAACCATGGAGTTGGAAGTTCATTAAACACCAAGAAAAACTAGCAGGGCTTTTGTTAATAGCCCCCCTCCCCTATTTCCCATTGGTGACTCTTTAGGAGATTCGATTACTGTTAATGCTTATACATTGGGTTAGTTCATTTATAGCGTCGGATATTCGTTCCCAAACACAATAAGGGGATCCAAAACATCACAAATGATGCCAAAAGCAGGCAGTTTAGACCTTTTTTCCTTTTTGAGGTGTAGCGTAACATTAAATGGTCAATTATTGTCCGTTCAAAGCATGAAACCAAAACATGACAAATTTTAACCAATGCCATCGCAAAAGCAAAGTCGAAATTCCCTTAGAACTAAAATTGAAACATTTACACTTCACAATATAGTTTTCAACACAACAGAACACTTGTTACCATGTGAGTACTTTCTATAATTGAATAAACTTAAAGGATTAACGTCTGTTTCTTATTAATTTTATGTAATCTTTGAGGTCAAGCGTACAAAAAACTTTGATCGACTTCCGTACTTAACATATGGCTTCTTATGTCAGTTTAAATTAGAATACGAAATAGAAACGGAAGAATGGTTTTTGTTTAAAATTTTATTTAAACAAAAATTTTAACTCATGTAGTCAAACAAATACATACAAGCAAAAGCTATTAATGCGAGGAGGATACTTAAAATTATGCAGGTTTAAAAAAGGAATATATCTTACAATAATTCTTCAGTCAAAGTCAATTTAAACAAGTTCTTTTAATAAGACTTCTACACGACTAATAAAAGGACACATGCGACGCAACTTTTTAAAAAATAGTCAAATATGGAAGTGTTTTAACTTAACCATTTGATTACTTTTCGCTAATACACTCATAAAACGTTTCACTCATAAAACCAGGGCAGCAAAAATTGCAAATCGGTAGCAAAATTTAGCCTCACTCGTTCCGTTATCTTATGCATTGGCCAAAAGAAGACCAGCATGTCTGCACGGAAGAATCGCCTCCTTGTTTTGTAAATAAAAAAGGGTCATTTAACTATATACAAGTAGGTTACAGGACCTAGAGCAAGTATGAAGATGAGCCCCACGAGTTTCTTAAAATGCCAACAAGGCGAACTTTTTTTAAAAGTTTCGTAGTACTTTTTAACTTAAGGAGCCGACGAAAATACTTTCACCCTATATTGATGTACACTCGTTCCATAGCTCACGAAGTCTTGCTAGCGATTTTTGATACCTCCAAGCTTTTATGCACTTTCTCATTGCTAGCGATTCGAGCACTTCGCAAACAAACAAAATAGGCTAAAAACGAAAAAAAAAATGTAAGAAAATACACACATACAGCAAAACATGCAAAAAAAATACAGATACAAACAAGAAATCTACTTCAAAAAACAACCTTAAAGAAAAAAGAAACAAAAATCTTACTAGGGACACTTTTGTTCCTCAATTCAATTAGGAATGAGCTTTGAGCGCTTTGCTATTTGGATTTGTTCGCCCCTCTTACGCGTAGAGGATCATAGGAAGGTGCAAGAGATCGCACGTAATTTAGTCGAGTAACTTTTTATATCAGAAAAATTTCCGAAAAATGATTTCACTTCAGCATATCAATTCATCACATTTGAGCTCCGGGTGTCAATATCTTCAAATAGGTATGAAATGAGCCATAAAAAAATATTTTGTAGAGCTTTACCCAAAAAAAATTTGCTCCCATGGTTTCAAGCAATCTTGGTTATAAGGTGACTGAGCGTATAACACTAAGCTCGCAAGCTCGTAAACGGAAACTTTTATAGGCGATAAAACTGAAAAACTATTTAGTAATTTAGACGGTTTGAGATGATAAAAACCCAATGTGCGTGAAAACTTTACATTTATAAATAATACATTGTAAAATCAGATAATGAGACTATTCCTCTCACACTGCCAGCTCAAAATATATCCAACCGACATTTGGAAAAGAAAGCCAAGGAAAAAATAAAAAAAAACGCTGACATTTTTTGAAAAAACTTCAATTATCGCATTTGAAAATTAAAAAAAAAATCTTAAAAGTCTTTTACTTTCAAGAACAATTTATGATTGACACTTCTTTCATAACACTAACCCAATTAGAGAACCGTGGATCATTACGTAATTTTTATCCGCAGGGAAATCTAAAAATAAAAAAACTTTCAAAACTAGAGTTCGATCACTTTTTCCAACCTTTACACTTTTGTTGTTCGGTAAGGGAGCTTTCCATCTTTTCAAAAAGGGAACTGAAAAAATCAACTTAGAAAAACCAAACCGCGAAAAATCAAATTTGAGCGTAAACAAACGATAGGAATTTACTGCAAAGAAAAAAATTTTAACACGACCTAGATAATTGTCTTCACGGTTTATTGCCTCTTAAACATTTCATGGTTTCATTCTTTCACGCAGATGACATTGGGCTTGGCTTCACTTCAACTGCTATATACAACTTGAATAATTTTCAACGAAAAAAAACTACAATACAAAAGCTAGTAAAGAATCAATGATCCGAAAAAGCAGAAAAAATTACTGTTTGTTTTATAACTTTGACTCCGACAGAAAAAATTATATTGTCTTGAAAAACTTTTGAATATAGGCTGGAAATCCGCCCAGAAAGCGAATACAGGAAAATGCATGCAGTAGAGCAATCCTTCTTTTACGAAAAAAAGTATCCGTCACAACTCAACAGTATCAGGAGCACGGCTTTACAGAACGGCTATAAAAACGCTACACACACAAAACTGGTTAAAAAACAAAGAAACTTTATATACCAAAAAATCTGAACTATGAAAAATCAAACGTGACGTCGTGAAGCAAACGCAACAAAACACGGAACTAACGTTTCTTCACTTACTCGCTGACAAATGAAAATTTATGCAACACAAAGGCAAAACGGAGTTTCGCAATATTTGCGATACAACGTAAGCATAGGATTGCAAGCTGCTGAAAAAAAATGTATCGGAAATCGTCAACAAAAATTTCTGATGTTTATCTCGACTGATGGTCAACTTCAACTTCACAGTCACAAAACAACTTCAAGGTGAAAGAAGCATTTTTATTGCTCACTGAGCGGCCACTAAAATGAAAATACTTGCGTGAACGACCTTTCAGGAGTAAAAAAAACATCAACAAAAATCATAAAAAAACTTCAAGCTAAGTTTTTACATCCAACCCTTCCCGCAAAAAAAAATTCTAACGACACAAGCGGAAACCATTAATCAAAAAAGAAATTGAAGCATCTTAAGTTCAGTTTGTAAACTTGCAAAAAACAGAACAAATTTTAATTACAATAGTAATTTTTTCGATCAGAAACAGCATTAACTGAAAATTGAAACGATAAAACTTGAGCAGACAAACGATAGTACGAATACTCACAAATTCTGAGAAATAACGAGTTAAACGCATAAAAAAAAACAAAACCCGGCATCGATTCGAGTCCCACGCCTCAGATTCCAAAAACGATTGAAAGCGATAAGAACAGAAAAAAATAATAATCTACTTTACAAGGGTAATCACCAAATTAGATTGCAAATTTGTATTTTGATCATAGCACGCGGTCAGATGAAAATCGTTTGTTCTCATTTGGAAAGACGAAGTAGATGGTAAAAAGAAATTTAAATTACAGATAGACTAAAATTTTTAAGAATTGATGGATTTCACTTGACATAGCCAACAGACAGTTAAAGTGTCAACGAACTCGAGGAAACAAACTGACGTTTTTTTTTTTTGAAAAATTTTGTTTTTGAAATTTACAAATAATATACATAGCACAAAATCAAACTTGAGCCACTCCATCGCCACTTAAACAAACCCTGGAAAGCTCTTTTGACAAAGATACCATTGGAATAATAAGCAGAAAAACCAACGCTTGTTATCACCTACAGTGAAACATTTAACGTGGATATTTTCAAATGAAATGAAAACATCACATTCTAAAAAAACTGGGGAGTATACAGATTTTAAAAAACTGAAAAAAAACTACCGCTTTTTTACAACTTTGACTTCCACAGAACAAATTGTCTTGGCTTGAATCAATTTTAATTTCCAGATGACTAGCCAAAAAGTTGCCAAGAAATCCTCCGTGAATGCGAACACAGGAAAAAAGACGAAGCAGGGCAATCTTTCATGTATAAAAAGTTATTTGAGACAAAGCGGCAATATGAAAAACAATACTTCAAAAAACGGCTATATAAAAGACGCTGCAATTCACAAAACTGCAGAAAGTCGAGAAACAATGAAATTTCAAACATCAAAAGCTATTGCAACAAGGAAAAATTGTCAAAAACTTTTTTGATGTCATAAATAAACCAAACTTTAAGTTAGATACTGTAATTGCCCAAGCAACTCGAAACAAAAAAAAGCACTATGAACTGAACCTAAAGTTACCATTTCTAACTTTGACTATTTTGTCGCAAGGGTTAAAAAAATTACAACAAGCAATTTAGACGTTTGTCTAGACTGATGTTCAATTTTAAAAAAAACACAGAGGCAAAACACAGATTCACAGTTGAAATCAGCATTCATTTTGGCCACCGGGCTTGATTAGACGACAGTTCAGTCGTATACTCGAAGTCTTTACATTCCATCCTTGCTGTGAAAATTTTTTCTTTACTGTCAAAAAAGGCGAAAAAAATGGTGAATCCTTTAATAAATCTCTTCGAACTCTCATATCTGACTTTTTTAATGTCAGTGAAAAAGTACTCATCCCGGCAGCAGAAATATGGGAAGAGAAAACTGAATAGATTTGAAATTGATATTGAGATTTGACAAAAAATTAAAATTGCATAAGTGAGCCAACACCGAAAAAGCCGGAATACCCAATTCAATGTTGAAGAATTTGAATAATAACAGAAAACAATCACCTTCCATAAAAAGCCTTGCAATCCTCCTTAAAACATCGACGCATAAGCACACGCAGTCACATAAATGAGGTGCACCATTCGATATCTAAAACGTGTTCCAGTAGAAAACCAGAAATCCTAAAAAATCAACAGCAAAAAATATTCAAAATTCTATCGCTTCTTTTACTATAATGAATAACATGCTCGATATATTAATACCACAGAGACGAAGCGAAGCAACACGGACATGTCTCGATAGAAGTTCATTCCAGCCAAATATGCCAGACACTTGAATTTAAAATCAGTAACAACGGAACAAAATTTCTGAATAATAACAGAAAACAACCACCTTCCATAAAAAGCCTTGCAATCCTCCTAAAAACATCGACGCATAAGCACACTCAGTCACATAAATGAGGTGCACCATTCGATATCTAAAACGTGTTCCAGTAGAAAACCAGAAATCCTAAAAAATCAACAGCAAAAAATATTCAAAATTCTATCGCTTCTTTTACTATAATGAATAACATGCTCGATATATTAATACCACAGAGACGAAGCGGAGCAACACGGACATGTCTCGATAGAAGTTCATTCCAGACAAACATGCCAGACATTTGAATTTAAAATCAGTAACAACGGAACAAAATTTACGAAAGGAAACAAAGCCGACAAAATTTACGAAAAGAAACAAAGCCGAGAAATTGATCCAAAAAATATGATTTTATAAAAAAAGTTTGAAGTCCCACCTTAAACAACAATGGACAACACTTGCAACTTTACAGCACAAGAAAAATCAGTGATGTGGCAATTAACCCAACCATTTGAGCTGAAACCACTTGAACCGAAAAAAAAATGATTTTTTTAATTTATTTTTATATATCTTTCAAGTCCCCCAAGAAACTAGAATGAACAGCACTTGCAACTACAATGAAAGTAGCTAGCAGAAAAAAATTAGTGATATGGCAACTTAGCCGACAATCTTTTACCAGACACCCACCAACTATACCGAAAAAAAAAGGCGTTTATAATTTTTTGAAAATCTTTCAAGTCCCCCCCTGAAATTGGAATGAATAACAACACTTGCAACTACAATGAAAAATGTCTACAGCACAAACCAATTTCTTTGTGGCAATTTAGCCGACAAAACTTGAGCGAACAATCAAGAAATTTCTTTGCGGCAATTTAGCCGACAAAACTTGAGCGAACAATAAAAAAAACCAACAAAAATTTTTTTTTGGAATATTTTTTCATATTTTTTTTTGATACCGAAGGTCCGGCCTCGGCTCGAGCCCAAGACCTTAGGGTATAAAAGCTAAGGGAGAAGCAACATGGAATATGTTAAGAGAAGAAGCAAAATGAAAAAAAGTCAGCTGCATAGTCAGCAAGTGGTTCAACTAATTTTGTTAAACTGATTGTTAACAAGAAAAAAACTCAAATTCCAGTTTGATAACGCTTGCTAATCGCGAGCGTTAAGAGCAATTAACCTGATCGCTTGAAAATAACGGAGAAGAAACAAAATGTTGACAGCAAGATCAATTATCCGAATATCGAGAAACTTTACACAGTCTAGAAAATAAGGTCCAGTCGAGTCTCTCTGGGTTCACTTACATTGCGTACGAAGTCCTGCCTCTCCTTCGTCTGTTGGTCAGAGGGGACACCTTCACCGGCCTGTCCACCCTCCGAATGTACTGGCTCTATCACCTTCTCCAGTTTAGACTCTTCCTCCTTCTTCTTCTCTACCTCCACGTGGGCCTGCTTGTCTTTCTCGATGTCCGATTTGAGAACCACCGGATCTTTCTGAAACAATTATAATGCATTTCAGCCATCTTTCCATCCAAACCATTCTTTTATAGAAAACTTATTTGTGTGCAAACTTTCCTGATAAAAACGATATCTGGTAAAGTAGCAGATCCTCCGATCAAATTCAATTTAAAACAAGGATAGACGGTTACTAGTAGCACAGAATGTTCCGACCAGTCTCAAAAAATTACATTAAAATTATTTTTCCAATTATTTTAGTTTTTTTTTGGCTTGGTGTGACAGAGGAATCTGAGCGGAAAAGTCGAGCTCAGGCATTTTCGTCAGTCATTGTAAAATATGCACATTTGAAAACAATTTTTGCAGAAAAATAACAAAAAAATTTTTTTTTATAATTTTTCAAATTTTCCCCCAAATTTCCGAAGTTTTTGATTTCTAAGATGCAGCTAAAAAACCTTAAGAACTAACTTCATTTGAGTAAAAGTAAACTGTACTAAACTAAATTAAGCACAGATAAGCTACTATAAGCCTGCTCACTCGCTCGAAATAAGACGAAAAATCAAAAACCTCAAACCTGAAACTTTTTTGAAATTTTTTGATGTCGTTCGAATCATGACTGAAAGGGCTTTAATATGATATATATCACTAAGCCCAGTCCGATGATTATTTGTGATAGCTGATTTTGCTTGGAAAACACAAAAAGCCTGCTCGCTTGCTTTATTCGCTCGAACTAACACAAAAAATCTAAACTTTCAAACCGGTTTCTCTCGACACTGGGATTTTGTGGAAATTTGTTAACGTGGTTCGAATCACGACTGAAAGGGCTTTGATATAATATATCACTGAACGCAGTCCGATCATTATTTGTGATACCTGATTTTGCGTGGAAAACAAAAAACTAAACCTAAACTCCATTACACACCCGAATACACAGTTCCTCTCCATTTTCAATGGTCGGAACAATTAGCGTTATAAAATATGCAACCTTAAAATATTTATGGTCTTTTCCCTCCTTAACTCTTTCGGTTTGAAAAAAGGAGAGCCCAAAAAATCTACTAAAATATATATGCAGCAAAGGAAAAGCAGCTCTGCAATAAATGTAGATGAATAACTCAAAAACTCATCACAAAACAGACCTTGAGAATGTTTTGAACATCTCTCAGAAGTTCTTCTTCATGTTCCCATGCCCTTTTCTGTTCTTCGTTGGCATTGGCTTGGTCTTCAGATTTGGCTGGTAAAACCACATTGGCTTGATTATTCACTTTAGGAGGCACGGGAGAATCTGCATCATTGCTTTTTTGCGAAGATGAGGCCGCAGCGCCAAGACTAAGCCCAGTTCCTACATGAGAATATGAGCTAAATCAAAATACGTTAACACGGTATCAATTCTTTTTTACTAAAAAAACTTAATTCCTGCCTAAAAAATATTCTAGATTTCAGCCTAGAATAGAGCCTCAATAACAAAACAGAGCGTTTCACGATCAAAACAAACTATGTTGTTCTTCATATTCTTGGAGACATTGAAAAACTTTCGAATAATAAGCATATTAATGAAACCTTTTCTGAGGAGTGACAGGAGGACAGGTCCATATATGGTAAGAAGTACTCCCGCAAGAAAGCATACAAGGCCAAAGATGAGCAACGGCTTCTTTTTAAACGAAACAATTTTCATATCTCAACCACCGGCTGATTTTTCTCCCATGTCCTGCCTAAAAAATATTCTAGATTTCAGCCTAGAATAGAGCCTCAATAACAAAACAGAGCGTTTCACGATCAAAACAAACTAATGGTGCAAAATCAATATGAAAGCATTTTTTTTAAATGTCGTAAACAGAAACAAAATATTGAAAAAACGGCAGTTTTGATATTACGGCCTTGTGATTTAAATATTTATCAGCGTTTAACGCACCTCCGGTGCTTCGAATTTTTTAGACAGCTCAGGAAAAACCGCACATGTTGAAAAAAAATCTGCAAACTTTTAGTGTACTCTGACTGCACCCAATTACAGGGTTGGTAATTTCCAACTTTTTAATTTTTTTAAATTCCCATTTTAAACGCGTCATCTCGAAATTTTAATGGGCCTTTGGAGAACTTTGGAGGCCAAATTTGCGACCACTGAGAGCATCTGATAGCACCCTACTATACGGTTGGGAATTTCAAATTTCGGGAATTGTTTTTTTGGTACTACTATGATAGAGTCGTCCCTCGAAAAAGCAACTATGATAGACAGGTCCCGCATGCATTTCGCATGTTATAATTTTGAAAACTAATTTGCGTATAAATTATTCATTTCAAAAATCTTGCAAAATATGTTCAGCCAGAAACTTTTCAGATTGAAAATTGCAATAACTATTGTTTATATATTGAAATTTGCTCGCTGTACTTTATTTTACGATTTAACAACCATATAATTGGGTTGACTTATTTGTCATCAAAACCCACTATTGGCGGTTTTTTTTTAATTTCAACCTTAAAATGGTGAGGGGGAGGTTTTAAGAGCTAACAAAACATGAAATTTGTTTGAAAATAAACTGCGACATCTTTCTGAAAGGCGTAATCATAATTATTAAACGATTTGAGAGCTCTAGGTGTCGTATTCTCAAGGGACCTGGTTATTTTCAAGGGACCACTCTATCATAGTAGTACCGTTTTTTTAAATTTAAGATTCCCGACAAAAATTGAAAAAATCACAAAAAACGTCTTATGTCGGAAACTAAAATGATTTGAGCATTCATAAATAGAGTTAAGATTTGAGACGCCTGGGTATACGCTGACAATAAGGTAAAGTCTACATGAAGTTGGTAGTTTCAAATTTTGCGAATTTCTTTGTAGATAATTTCTTGGAGAAATTTTGAAAAAATTGTGACATTCGACCAGAATGGCCAAAATGCAATTTATGCAGGCTTCGAATTTTTAGCAGTAAGCCTTCCGAGTTGATGATTTCGAAGGATTAGCGACGTTATTGGAACGTTTAGCCAAACGGTGAGGGCTAGAATGTTCTAGTATTTTAAATTTTCAAAAATTCGAATGATGACGTCACATTTCTGAGAAATGCTGAAACGGCCATTTTAACAAAAAAGCGAGTAAAAAGCAGAACAACTTTTATCTGTGATTGCGAACAGAACGAAAATCGAGATTAAAGAAAAACAACAACGAACTACAATAGCAGAGAACGTTCCAAGTTGCAACTATTGTGCTGCTACAATAGTTCCAAGGCCGTTGCCAACAACGGTGAAGGGTGAGAACCAGCCTTCCGGATTGGTGTGAAATTGAACTTAAGGAGCTTGATTCACTGGATTCAAGAATCCGGAAGGGTTTCGGGACTGGAACTTTTAGCCTTTTATATAAACTTTTAGCTTCTTGTCATGTCCTGAATTGAATTTAATTAACAACTGGATTCGTTTTGATAAGGATGAGAAGCTAGGAGTTGGGGGAAAGGGTTGATCCATCTTCGATGGAGATGATGATTTTTATCTACTGAACAAAAACAATAGTAATATGATAAGTAGTAGCCCTGTTTTTAGGAGTGACCTCGTGGTCTGGGGATACTGAGACCCAGCCATGAGCTCACTAACTTTGCATGTAATTCAGTTAATTTGAGCGTTCTGGTCGAAGCCGGAGAACAGTAACGTTTTTGTCAGCCTGATGTAAGAAAGACCACCGAAAAGTACTGGCTTGGTAGAGACGGTGAAAAACATGCGAAGCTCTGTTTAGACGCTAGCCAGTCGTCTTAAGACTTAGTTTTGTTATCCGTCGATATGTATCTTCCGGGCGAATGTTACATGTATGTTTTTATGGCGCTCCTGGGTGTTATTCTTTCGTAATATCATGACCGGCGGAACCGTTAACGAGCACTCCGCGCCGAGCGGATGCTCACATTAACGCCCTTAATAGGCCTAAACTGCCGGGGCGGAAGGGTAGTTCGGAACGCGGAAGCCTTCCGGGTTGCCGTGAATAGTTTTTTAACCTAGTTAAGACCGAAAATTCATGAACCAGGAAGGGTGGGGGGAATCGCGAACCCCTCATCCCCTGAGTGGTTTGTGACCAAAAACACTTAAAGATATAAGCAAAACCAAACAAAAAGTAGTATAGTACCCAAGAAAAACAAAAAACATAAAAAATAACCGAAAAAACCAAAAACAGTAAAAAAGTAAAAAATCAGTAGAAATCATCCCCCCAGACAAGATGTGATTCAACCCCCCCGTTTGTTGTTGATAGATATATTGTTGTTACAGGCATTTATATCAGTCAGGATCGTTACGATCAATTTTGTGGCCCGTTTGTGAGGCTTGTACTGTAGGGTTATTTGAGCATTTAAGCACGTTAATGATAAATTGCGCTCAATCCGGAGGGGTCAGCTGATTTGCGCTCAATTCGGAAGGGTCTTGGGTGAAGACCGATCCGGCAAGCAGTACAAGGAGCAACAAGAAGGGGCTCAACGACAACAACAATCGACTGTTGGGTATCGTTAACAAGTTTTGTATCCATTTTGGTACAAAAAGTAAGATAGTAATCTGTGGGGGGCTCGACAGTGCTGCACTGTAGTGACCCTTCACCGAACTGCGAATATCCGAGTTAAGCACCTTAATTCGGATAATAAACAAACCCGGAGGGGTATAGTATTACTAATATTATTACTTAAATAGCCTATATTAATAGTCTTATATCGTTTTTCAGTGAAAAACAACGAAAACAGACCGGTTTTTAGGGTCAAAATAGCGATATTTTGATCCCCCCACAAGTCGCGATTTTTGAGATATCGATATTTTTTGAAACGGAAAAAAGCGCTAAGTTAGTGTGTTACATCGTAACTGCACTACTGTAATAAGTAGAACCGGTTAACTTTAGTTCGGAAGTGGTTGGAACTAGTTTGGTACCAAAAACCAAATTTTCCCAATTTTTGATAGTAAGAAACACTATAAAATCAGAAAATTTTTTGAAATCTTTGAGTTAGGACAGTAAAAATAGTTGTTCGGACAACGTCCACTAGTGAATCTACGAGTTTTAAAACCCGCTACCCGAAAGCCTTCCGGGTTGCAGAGAAATCGAACATAACGTGTTTGATTTGGTGGATTCATCAATCCGGAGGGGTCCAGGTAGCATAGTTTTTCGCAAATTTTTTCTACAAAAGCGTTTTAGATCGGGTCTTTTACATTGAACTAGAAGAGTATAGGCCTTGTGAGCTCAGATCAATAATTTTTAGGTCGAAAGGACCAGATTTGCGGAAAAAGTTAGGCGGAACCTATAAGAGAGAAAATTTTTGAATTTGGAAAAAAGACGTTTTGGTTAATAACTTTGGAACTACAGAGCATATCGAGTCAATCTTGGTACCATTAGATCAGAAATTAGCTGAACTTACTAGTAGGAAAGAGAATTACTCGAAAAAGCGAGCGAGAAAGTTTTTTGAGATTGTTTTTAGCAAATTACACAAATCCGGAGGGGTACACCCTTCACGTTTTATAAATTTTTCTGAAAAACCCTTATACCCCTACCAAAAGTTGATAGCGATTGAACTAAGTAATTTAGGACAGTTCTAGACAAAAAGGGAGGGCTGAAGGCACAAGACAACCATAATAGAGTCGAGATTAGGCAAGTGATAAGACCCTTCACCGTTAGTGTGAATTGTCAAATAAGTGCCTTAACTTCAATCCGGAGGGGTCTAGGAAAGGACCCTATACCCTTCCCAGTTAATTCAAACAGCATAATAGCAACGCAGAACGTATCCGGAGGGGTATAAGCTGAAATTAAGAAAACTACAAAAAGCTACTTTGACAGAGCTAAGGGCTCCCAATCCGGAGGGGTCGAAATTTTTCAAAGTCAGAGGGGTCCGAATCCGGAGGGGTCTACTTTCCACAAAACCGGAGGGGTCCGAATCCAGAGGGGTCTTATAGTTGCTAATTCCGAGGGGTCCCAATCCGGAGGGGTCTATATTCTGACAGTCCGGAAGGGTCCTATTTGTGCCAATCCGGAGGGGTATCATTTTATTAAGGACTTAGGTAAACGAAAGAAAGACTAAAAAGCGAGAGGTATTAGGTTATTAATACACAGGCTAGGTATCAGTGACTGCACTGGTAACTTGCCTTTCAAAAAGAACCAGACTAATACAAAACAGATCCGAACTCGGATATTCGCGACACTAAGTCTAAATTAGAAAGAGCGTGACTCATTGGTGTGGATTGAAACATAATACGTTTTTGGGAAAAGTGACTGCCCTGAGGATTTTAGTAGGTCTAGCTCGGGCAGTCCGAAGGCAGATAGGTAACACAATACTCGGTGGGTGCAATAGACGCCCACTTGAGAAAATTACTGCCTTCAAAGTTTTGTCTGTTTGGTGCAGCACCAAGCAGGGAAAGCTTTTTCTTTAAAAGACAGGTTCGACTATTGTACTGCGACCAACTAAGAGTACAAGACACATACGTTTTTTTTTATATATACATTCATATTGTGTCAATATATAATTCTTGTTTTTGATTTTAAATCAACCTAAACTGTGCTTGATTGGGTAGTGACTACACTATCTTTTAAATTGACTGATAACATCATATTGTGCTAGTTCCCAGATCTTTGGACCGATAATCGGCTAGTGTGAATAAATTTTATACAAACTATACTCTGACAACATACAGGGATTCGTGGTCACTATTTAATAGAATCTGGTGAAATTTATTGTGTTGTGTCATTATTTTTGTTAATAAAACTATAAGGTCTCTAGC